TTCACTCGGAATGTATAGTTCTGTTTGCGGCATAGTTTTGAGCATTCCAATGGGTGTTTTGGGGTGATATCTTTTAGCCTGTTCTTTTATTCCTTAAGTATCAGCTTCGGGTACTGCGTTCACGTGCGAGTGGGCGCGAAGGTACCTGCTGTTGGTAAGTGGGAGATCTGAAACTCTTCGATTGTAAGTAATAGAAAAAAAAAGAAAAAAAAGTTACACAAACATATCAATATGATACTTTGCTTACTATCCCCCAACCCTTGAATTAAGATAAAAATAAAGAAAGAGAGAGAGAGAGAGAGAGAGAGAGAGAGAGAGAGAGAGAGAGAGAGAGAGAGAGAGAGAAAGAGAAAGAAAGAGAAAGAGAAAGAGAAAGAAAAGAGAAAGAAGAGAAAGAGAAAGAGAGAAAAGAAGAAAAAGAGAAAGAAAAAGTGAGAGAGTAAAGAAAGAAAGAAAGAAAGAGCGAAAGACAGGCAAAAAAAAAAAGAAAAGAAAAAACTCAAGCGAAATATTTGGACCATATTTCAGAACGGCAGTGTCAAAAACACAGAAGAAAAACATTCCTATATCGCAGCCTCTGCATGTCTGGAACATTCACTTAGCATAACGTTACACAAATACCTCGACCCCCAACCGTGTGTCTCGCTCACAGCTGATCATCTCACCCAAAACTTTTATACAAAAGTCGATTCTTTTTTGTCTATTTTGTTTTTTTTTAAGTATATCTAATTCATGAATGGTATCGTGGATTTTTAAGTGTATCCAACTCGTGGATTTTAGATATTTATAACTCGTGAATAACATCGTGGATTTTTAGGTATTTATAACTCGTGAATAACATCGTGGATTTTTAGGCATTTATAACTCGTGAATAATATTGTGGATTTTCAAGTATATCTAACTCGTGAATAACATTATATTTTTTTAGGTATATCTAATTCATGAATAACATCGTGTACTTTTAGTTATATCTAAGTCGTGAGTAATATCGTGGATTTTTAAGTATATCTAACTCGTAAATAATATTATGTATTTTTAGGTATATCAAACTCATGAGTAATATCGTGTATTTTTAAGTATATCTGCCTCATGAATAATATCGTGGATTTTAAGTATATCTCTTATGAATAATATCGTGGATTTTTAGGTATTTCTAACTTATGGATAATATCGCGTATTTTTAAGTATATCTCTAATGAATAATATCGTGGATTTTTAGGTATATCTAACTCATGAATAATCTCGTGTATTTGGAAGTATATCTCTCATGAACAATATCGTGGAGTTTTAGGTATATCTAGCTCGTAAATAATATCTTATATTTTAGGTATATCTCTCATGAATAATATCGTGCATTTTAAAATATATCTAACGTGAATAATATCGTGTAATTATTAATCTTGTGACCATATTACACACAACCGAGTCTCTGATTATTTTATAAGTATTCTGGACCAAACCGATGGACAACGAAGCTAAGCGAATATCTAGAAGAAGAATGAGATGGAGAAGTAGAAGAAGGAGAAGAAGAAAAAGAAAAAAAAAAAGAAAGAAGAAGAAAAAAAGAAAAAGAAGAAAAAGGAAAGAAAAAGAAGAAAAAGTAGAAGAAAAATATAAATAAAAAGAAAAAAGAAAAGAAAAAGAAAAAGAAAAGAAAAAGAAGAAAAAAAAGAAAAGAAAAAGAAAAGAAGAAGAAGACAAAGACAATGAAAAGAAAAAAAAGAAAAAAAAGAAAGAAAGAGTCAAAAAAAAAAAAAAAACGAAAATAGAGAGAAAAACGAAAAGAAAGAGGAAAAAAAGAAAGCATTATTTTCCCCCCGGCATCGTTTACGAAAAAATAAAAGAAATGGAAATCAGCATACTAAGAACAATTACGTCTTTACGCTAACTCCTCAGAATTTACATAATGTTCATTGCAGCAATCATACTTTGAGAACAATGTATCAGAAGAGCCGTGGAAATAGAATCTTATAAAAGTAAAAATGAAAATATTAAGAAAAAAATAAAATGATTTTGCGTTGTATCCATTATATTGATGAATTAGCATCGTATGTGACTGCACAGAATATTGATAATAATTATTATGATAGTAATGATAATGATAGTAATGATGATAATGATAATGATAATAATAATGATAATATTAATTAATAATAATAATAATAATAATAATAATAATAATAATAATATAATAATAATAATAATAATAATAATAATAATAATAATAATAAATAAATAATAATAATAATAATAATAACAATAATAATAATTAATAGTATAATAATAATATAATAATAATAATAATAATAATAATAATAACAAATAATGAAAAATGAAAAAAATTATAATAGTAATAATTATAATAATAATAATAACAATAATAATCATAACAACAACAACAACAAGAACAACAACAATAATAATGATAATAATCAATAATAATACTAACAACAACAACAATACCAATAATAAAATGAAATAAAAATTGCAATTATAAACTGAACGGTAGCCTGTGCATATTTTAATTTACGCAATGATTTTGCTACAACACTACCCTTGATCAGCTGACCATAACCTATGCGAATATCGACAATCAAAAATGGGGAAATTGGCATCGATACCAAGCAGCCAATTACTATTTTGACATAATTACTAAAAATGGATCCGTCTCGAAATCTGAACAGGTCGGGGACAAGTTCAGTTATATTGGTTGTTCTGTGGAATCGATTTCCTTGATCAAAGGAGGTGAACTTGATAATGATAGTGATAATAGTAACAATGATAATGATAAAAGTAATTATGATAATAGTAATAATAATAATAGTAATGATGGTGATAATAATAATAATAATAATAATAATAATAATAATAATAATAGTAATAATGACAATAGTAATAGAATTAATAACAGCAACAACAACAAAGTAAATAATATTACCAGTAATATCATTGGTAATGATTATAAGAGTAACAGTAATAACAATAATACTGTTTATCATAATAATAATGACAATGGTAACAACAACTAAAAAACATTAACAGTATCAATAATTAAAACAATAATCATGATACTTCTAACACCACCACTACAACTACTGATACTAGCAGTAATAAAGATGATGGTAATAACGATAATAATAATAATAATGATAATAATAATGACATTAACATTAACACTAATAACAATTATAATAATGATGATAATCATGGTAATAATAACAATGATGATGATGATGATGGTAATAATAGTAATAGTTAGAATAATAATGATAATAATAATGATATTGTTGAAAGTAATAATAATGATAACAATGATAATAATAATAATAATTAATGATAATAATAATAATAGTAATAATAATAATAATAATAATAATGATAGTAATAATAATAATAATAATAATAATGACATTAACGTTAATACTTATAAGAGTAATGAAAATAATGATGATGATGATAATAATGAAGATAATAATACTAATAATAACCATAACAATGATAATCATGATAATAACAATGATAATGATAATGAATATGGTGATGATATAAATAATGATAAGAATAACAGCAGCAACAACAACGACAACAATAAACCTTCATCAACAATAAAAAAGAGAAGAAAAGGACAAAAATAACTTCAGCATTTGTCTCGACACACCTAACAGAAGCCCCAGTCCCCCCCCCCCCCCCGTGTGATTTCCCCGTGGGGCCCAGGGCGACGGTTTTTCAGCATACAGGGTGGTCTTCTTAGGATACCTCGCAGGTCGCCGTCTTGAGGATGACGAGGCAGAAAGTAGGGGCTTCTTCTTGGTCTTCTTTTCTGGGGATAAAGTTTTTTTTTGTGACTGGGGTGTCTTTTTTTTTGTCTTGATTTATTTTATTTATTGTTTTTTCTGTTCTTTTTTTATTTTTGATTTGTTTTAGTCTATTGGTGCTTGCGTAATTTAAAGAAGCTTTTATGGGTGATTAAGGCTTCCGAGATTGTCTATTTGGGTGTCTTTTTTGCCTTGATTTATTTCATTTATTTATTGTTTTTTTGTTTTTTTTTTTTTTTTTTTTTTTTTTTTTTTTTTTGGTCTACCGGTGCTTGCGTGCTTGACAGTAGCTTCGATGGGTGATTAAGGCTTCCGAGATTGTGTATTTGTCTGCTGTGGCTGATGGAGAGGGGGTTGCAGCAGTACTTGTTCCTTTAATTTTCATTTGTTGTCAGTTTTCTTCGTTTCTCGGTGTTGTTTCTTCGTATAGTCTACCTTTCTTTCTCTCTCGTCTTCATTTCTTGTGGAATTTAGCGAAGTTCCGATGATATTCTTCCATCTAATTCATGATTAATTTAATCATATTCTTCTCTTCTCCCTTACTTCTTTTCAAGTGTTTCTTAGAAGTATGGAGTTTCCTGTATTTCCCCCTCCTCCATTCCTTATGAATCTATCTTATGCTTTTCTTCTCCCCTACTTCTTTTCAGGTGTTTTTCTTAGAAGTATGGGTTTCCTGTTTCCCCTCCTCCATTCGATTCGTAATGCTACTGTACAGGAGAGACTACGAGGAAAATAGTGGGGATCTACCCTCCTCTCCCGTGAAGAATCTACTTCCTTACTTACGACGCTGTTCCTTCTCCTTAATGAACTCTCCGCCACTACCCGCTAGCACACAGACACCCACACATATACTTGATAACAAAGGTAACCCGCGCCCTACTTGAATGGCTGGAATTCCTAATCCCGGCTCGTGCTGGGGATATCCTACCCCCTACTTAATATTAGGGGTCACTAACCCTTTGGTTTTAGGGACTCTGCTCTTCGCCTCCAGCCGCTGAGTGTCGTGCCGCCTCTCTCGAGTCTCCATTTTTTTTCCTTTCTAAACCGAAGATGATAACTCGTTTCTTTGGTGTTTTTTCTTATCTTCAGAGGAGTAAGTGGTTCTATTTTTATCTTAGGTTCTATCTTGACGCAAATAGATAAGTAAGAAGAAAAAAACGAAAAGGAAAATGAAGTTATCTGCGA